ATCCACCCGCCTCGGCCTCCCAAAGTGCTGGGATTACAGGCGTGAGCCACCGCGCCCGGCCTAAATGTTATTTTTCAAAAGCAAAACTTCATTCCTACTTATAGAGAAGAATTACTCAAGAAAGGCAACAAACATGTACTTGGGACTTTCTTATACATTTAGAGCCTCCACTATTAGTACAAATTGTGCTGAATTTTCAAATACCTTCTTTTTGCCTGGGGCTAAGAGGGCAGCCAGCTCTGTTTTCTGGTCTAGAGAGCTAGGGCAAGTGTAGGGAGAAGCATTGACCAAGTCCTCATTCTCTTTGTCCAGGAACATGGCATTTGTAGCACCTGCCCTGCAGAAATAGTCATCACAGAATTCTCTTTTCTTGCTGTGTTTCCAAGGAAATGCCACAGTCACGTGGCTTGCAAAATATCCATTTCTGGATATTTTTGTAGTATAAATATAAGTCAAGTTAAATAAGAAGTGTGGGAAAAGTAACCAACTTCTGCTCTTTATTAGCTTAATTAAATACCCACTTCTTTGTTTCACCTTGTGGAATCATTCTGCCACACCATTTCCTACTCAAATAAGTACAGACACACCACAGACACTCCCCTATACACATGTTCCTCTACCCACCCACCCTGGAACCAGAACTAAATTGGTCTTTAAGAGGGATGATGGCCTTAAGAACAAAATAGCCTCATCTGCTGTTTCACTTGCTGTACTATTGTACTGTTTATTTAAGAAATAAGCTGGTGGTTCATGCCAAGGAAAAATTATCTTTTCAAAATGAGGGAGGAGGAGATTCACCCTGTGGAAATGGTGTGCCTTTTAACATCCTTAAAGATTGTTGATACCATTGTTGTTAATCAGTTGTGTTAGGACAATGGCTGCCCGTGTAAATGGAACAGCCAATCAGCAGGATAAAGTGATGAAATAAAATGACCTCTTCCCTTAACCACTGGTTTGTAAGCCTCTTTATTTTTCCTACAAACCTCCTAGCTCTTCCTCTTTTGTCTCCCTCCTTTCTGTGTTTTCAGTTGTCCCTTTCTCAGGCTGCCCCACTATGCAAGTAGGAGAGGGTCTGTGGGCTGGCCCTCCCTGAACTCACTGGCTCACTATTAGAGCTAATCTTATGTAGGGCATGCAAAAACTCCTTTATAACTCTACTCCTGTCAAGGTTCTAGAAATTCTCAAATTGGATCCATTGTTTTGGAGTTAGGTATTTTTGGCCACTACCACATGTGTTTTCTGAAAAAAAAAAAAAAAAAAAAAAAAAAAAAGAATACATAAAACCATCTACATGCATATGTTAGTATGGAGTAAGCAACCATTGCCAAGAAGAGAACAGTACCCTGAAAGAATGGGTCACAGTACACATACATTTTGATCGAGAAGAAAGGGTCTGGAAATGGATGAAACATGAGATTTTTATTTCTGGGGAGGAGGTGGGTTGATGGAGAAGGTATAGTGCTATCATGTTCAACCTTAGTTAAGCAGAAGGTAAAGAGGATCGCCCAAAGGGGAGAAACGAAGACGGAAGACAGTGGGGGAAAAAAATACATGTGGTTATTGCTGCCAAGCTACCACACTCACTCCGTGATTTTACCTAATTATTTCCCGCAAACATTGGCTTATAGTAGCTTGACAGAAAAGATCATTCTGGCTGGGTCTCACTGACTGCTTAATAACCAGTAATGTAGTAGCAGAAGTGTCCTTCTAATTTGGACTCTTTTCAAAGCATATTCTTCAGAGCCAGATCAGAGGGACATACACAGAGGAAACTGATGGGAGATTGAGAGCTAGAAAAATTACAGCCCAAGAAATGGGATATTGACCTTTACTCATGGTTTAGCACACCAACTTTTATTTCTATCTACCTTATGGTGCTAAGCCTCAGAGGTGCTTATTCAAAATTATGAGTTTGTAATGTAAATTTGCTGCCACCAGGCAGTGACTGTGTATTCCATGTCCACAATTTCACGTCTCTCTCTTCACATCTGGTTTTCTTTTAGTACAATTTCTAGGCTTTCCTCAATTATCCTGAGACAAAGTGGCAAAAAACAGAAAAGAGAAGCCCAGCACAACTTAGTAGCTTGAAGAACCAAATTCGATGTTGATCTTATACAAGCTCCAAAATGAAGGAGTACTTTAAACTTTCCCTCTGCCCTCTGGTGGGAACTGGAGGTGACTTACTGTACTTTTTTAGAGAAGGTGGGGGGTTTGCCGTCTTGGCCAGGCTAGTTTTGAACTCCTGATCTTGTGATCCATTCACCTCAGCCTCCCAAAGTGCTGGAATTACAGCAACATTTTTTTTTTTGAGACAGAGTCTTGCTCTGTCACCCAGGTGGAGTGCGGTGGCACAATCACAGCTCACTGCAGTCTTGACCTCCTGGGAACAAGCAATCCTCCCACCTCAGCCTCCCAAGGAGCCTCGGCTACAGGCGTGTGCCTACATGCCCATCTAATTTTTGTGTTTTTTTTTTTTTAAGTCTATAGAGACTGGATCTTGCCATATTGTCTAGGCTAAAAATATTTTTTAAATGTAATAATACGTAGCACTGATACAGCATTGACTGTATGTCAGGAACTATTGATAAGTAAGGTAAATAAGTTATTTGTATACACACACACACATAAACTTGTGATATTTATGGCAACTCTGGGAGGCAAGCACTGTTATTATCTCCATTTTACTGATAAGGAAAGCCACGGTGCAGAGAGAATAAGGAATTTACTCAAGATTATATAGCTAATATGTCATAGAAATAGGATTTAAAACTTTTTTTTTTTTTGGAAACAGAGCCTCGCTCTGTCCCCCATGCTGGAGTGCAGTGGTGCGATCTTGGCTCACTGTAACCTCTGCTTCCTGGGCTCAAGTGATCCTCATGCCTCAGTTTCTTGAGTAGCTGGGATTATAGGCACCTGCCACCACGCCTGGCTAATTTTTGTGTTCTTAGTAGAGACAGGGTTTTGCCATGTTGGCCAGGCTTGTCTCGAACTCCTGACTTCAGGTGATCTGCCCGCCTTGGACTCCCAAAGTGCTGAGATTACAGGCGTGAGCCACTGTGCCTGGCCCCTGAAACTCTTAAAGACTATGCTACACTGCCTCTCTGTACAAAAATTTTTCGGAGAATCCATCACCTCTTCCCTAAACACTTAAGTGCACTTAGAAAATGTGTTTTCTTTCTAGACAAAACTACTGCCAGAAAATATGCAGTGACATTAAGCTATCATTATCAATATCCTATACTTCCTGGTTTGATTTGAAATTAGTATATTCATACTTACAGCAACATGTATCCCAGCTTATATGGTCTGGAAAACTTGTTTGGTGTTTTATTTGGAAAGGAAATAAACTGAACTAATTACAACCAGATTTGCAAGCTGATAAATGTCAGGCATGTTGAATAATAATTTGCATTCCCTATAGCAATCAGTACAATGCTATAGGCTTATTAATATTGCAATAAGTTTATTTAAAGCATTAATAATAAGGAACTAGTTCAGCCCTCACAGTCTTCAAAGTGAGCAGGGCAAATCTTATTCTTCCCATTTTGTAGATTGGGAAACTGAGGCTCAGGCAGTCTCACCTGTACAAAAAAGACATTTTTTTTAAGGGAGTGTCCACCTTTCTGGCCGCATCCCCTCAAAAAAGACATTCTTTATACTTTATTTAAGGCCTCCAAAGCTTATTAAACTTCCTGTTAACCTCTTCTGCCACATCTAGGTCTTCTCTATCTAAAGAACAAAGAATAACTTGTCCAAAATCTTGAAGGCTATTTTTGTCTCTATTTATTTTTTTAATCTTTCCTTGTTGAAAAGGCCATACTATAATTTACCATACTAAGAACTAACTCCAAGAAATAATGTTCTTGAGGTAGACATTTATCTATATTTTTAACAGGGAAGACTTTAAGATGTTAGAATCAGATGGAAACTAATCATTTTATTTCATGCTTTCCCCAACCTACTTTACACATGACGTCATGGAGATCAAAGGGTATAGTGATTTGTGCAAAGGCACCACAAGTAATGGGAGGAACAGAAGCCAAAATCTGCATCTTCTGACTCCATCTGTCAATTTTCCCTCTTTATTGGCTTTTTTTCCTGGTAGAGCCCTGAGCTTATCTTTCCTGATAGTCAGGTGAAGATTCCTGGTTTCAAAGCAAGCATCAGACTTACCTTCCTCTCTCTCATTTCTGAAAATTCTCAGTGAAAGTAGTCAAAAGTGGGCTCTCTGGCAGGCCACTAGAGATCTGTATTCAGTATGATGAGGAAAAGCTATCAATAAATGATTTTTCAGTAATTCAGTTTTAACTCCTCATCATTTCCAATGCTTATTTTTTTCAAAACACTATACTTAGCTCTTTTAAAGTTGTCTGGCCAGTAATACCTAGTTTCATTTTATCATCTTGAATAACATGGGAAAGTGTCTCGTATATTTATTGAAATTAAGATAAGCCACATCTTTAGCATTCAACTTTTTAACCAATCTAGCAATTTTAAAAGGAACAAAATAGTATGGCATATGTACAGATTATGCTCAATTAATGTGCTTTTAGTTCTTATTGAGCACTACATTCTTTGTGTATTTGCAATATCATGACACATTTCTAAGAATCAATGTGCACAGAGCACATTGCTCCCTTTCCTCTTATCTGAAAGATGAAATAATATTTGTTCATTCTAGTATCCTGTTCTTCCTAATGTCTCAAAAATAACTGATCTCCTTGCTCTAAGACCATACCTGTAGGTTTCCCTGAACCACAGGGAAGTTAAGCCAGGGGCGACTCCTGTCATTATGGAAGGCCAACATCAATGGAGTAAACTTAGCAAAAACTGGTAATGAATATAAATGTAAAAACACAAACTGACCCATAGGTGTGTTCATGAGAATGGCACTGACTGGTTGAGAGTAAGTTGGGTGATTCCAGTCTAGCTTCCTTGCCCTCACCCCAGCCCTGGCCTCTCCATCTGCCCTGAGTGGAGTCTCTGCTCTTTCTCCACAGTTGTGGACATGGATGGAAGATCTTCAGAAGGAGATGTTGGAGGATGTATGTGCAGACTCTGTGGATGCAGTCCAGGAACTGATCAAGCAGTTCCAGCAGCAGCAGACTGCCACTCTAGATGCCACCCTCAATGTCATCAAGGAAGGCGAAGACCTTATCCAGCAGCTCAGGTCAGCGCCTCCCTCCCTGGGGGAGCCCAGCGAGGCCAGGTCAGCATGGGCAGAGTTTTCCAGTATGAAATGCCTCGGGCTAGACGTGAGATAAGTCCTGTCCCAGTCTTGACTCTGCAAAATCTTGCTTTGTGGTCTTGTGTGAGCTTCAGTTTCTTTATCTGTAATATGTAAAAATGCCTGCACCATACCCAACTTGAGTCTAGAATGAAATATTAAATGGAAAGGCTTTAATGTTTCAAAGCATTATTTATCATTCAGGATGTTATTCAGCAATCAGTAAGTAACATAAATACAACAAAAATTAACAAAAGACAAAAATATTAACAATAGTAAAAAATCAGTAAGAATTAGTGCATATTTGCTCATGCAGAGAAATAGACATTATGGAATATAATACTGACGTTGGGTCTTAGGCTAAACTCTGTCCTCCACTGCCCCTGTGAGCAAAATTGGAGCATTTTGCTGATGTTTGACTTTGGACCCATGAAGACGTAGAAAAACTGTGGTGTTGTCCTACCAAATCCCTGTTACCCAGTTATGACCTTTCACCATTCCTTGCTGCCCAGAAAATAAAACAACTTCTGCATCAACCTAAATAAACATAACTAAGGAGACAAATCCTGTCTAAAAATCTTACATTTGTTTAGAATTACCCAGGCCATTGCCTCCTTTCCATTGGCATCAATATCTAGTTTTCTGCCCCTGTCAAGCTCCTTAGATAAAGTGTCATGAGGCCTTAAGCAAGCCCCCAGCAACCAACCCCATGCCCAGGTGCTGTATAAATAGGATTTGATGGTGCTAATGATGCCTGCCCACAGGGACTTGTTCCTATCCCAAAATCACTGAGTGCTGGGACCTTTGCCAGCTCTGGACAGAAATAATCTCATCAGCAAGTCCCAGGCTGGCCCTACGGCCTGAGGGAATTACTTCAATTGAAGAGGGTTTTTTCCCTCCAATACCAGTTGTCCAATTAAATAAACAATGAGAAATTACCTTTAGAAGGCCCTGGCATGTTTTTCTGTTACAAATTAATAATTTCTATTCTAAACATGCACATGAGATGCTCCAAATCCTCCTACTGCATACTAACAAGACGGCCTCTTTTCTTTCTTTGCCTAATTCATCTTGGTGAATATATAATACATGACAGCTTTGTCTGCCTCCCTAGGAAACTCCACTGTCATTTGCTTCTGCAGAAAATTCCAAACAGTGGACAGTCATTTAACCTCTCTGGGCCTCAGCTGCTTCGTCTGTGTCATTAAGGGGTTCACTCCAGGATCTCTGGCAGCTCTAGAATTCTGCAATGGCTTTGTGTCATCTATTCAAATACTTTTCACAGGCTTGGCTGGCTTCACTTTCTGTGGGGCTAGGCCTATGGAGATGCCACTTGTTCTTAACAACTGTAAACCTGCACAGAGCCTAAGGGCATAATGCTACTTGACAGTGGCAAACGCAGCGATGTGGGTGATGCCTGTTCCATGGGTTTCAGAGAGTACCGTAGGCATATAACCAAGAGCCACTGGTGACCATTCATTGTGCCACTAATCTGACTCTAGCCTAGGCTCCCCACCGACATCAAGGCAAGTCAAAGAGAAAAAGAAGTAAATGGTGCTTAGTGGGCATTGGCAAGATGCCTCGCAGACAGCAGAAACATCTTCCCTAGGTCTTCTGATTTTTCTGACACTCATCACTAGAGCACCTAAGGGAGCTTTTGCATCATCTCTGTGATTCCCAGTGAGTGTGACACTGACATAGTGCCTCATAAAATGGTCAGAAATCATTCTCTTCCTTCTGGAAGATGTGTGATGAAGACAGACAGAGGAGGAGACCAAGAGAATAATTATATCCTCCCAGAAGCAAAGCCCTCAAGAAATACATAACAGATAGCAATGAGTACATCTCTTATGTTCTTTTCATGCCTTTGAATGTCCATGCAGTTGTGGGAGTAGAAACTGTGCCTGTATCATGACCAAACAGGACAGGGTGAGAAGGCAGGAATTGGGAGCCCTCTGAATGCTAGGGGAAGGGCACTTGTCAAATTAGCCTTATGCCATCTTCAGAAACAGAATGAGCTCAGATACCATTGCTTCTGAGACAAACACAGGCTAAAAGAACATGGCTTTCAGAAAGCCTGCTGATGAGATGATTGGAAATAAATTATTTTCCCCTTGTCCTCTGACTCCTTAAATTGTATGAGAAGCTAAGATGTCACAAGATAATGGACCTGCCAGCTTATTTCAAGTTTTAGGGCTCTAGCTTACTCAAGGCCCTGTGGAATCTAAACTTCTTAGCCTCCACTATTTTCCCATTATAGTTTGCACCACCTCATTTTGCTGAGCAAATCAGTCTGTTTATCTCCTGGTTCCCCTCTACAAGGCATCACCTCTCCCTACTACTTTTTCTTTTTTTGAGACGGAGTTTCGCCCTTGTTGCCCAGGCTGGAGTGCAATGGCGTGATCTCGGCTCACCGCAACCTCCGCCTCCTGGGTTCAGGCAATTCTCCTGCCTCAGCCTCCTGAGTAGCTGGGATTACAGGCATGCGCCACCATGCCCAGCTGATTTTTTGTATTTTTAGTAGAGACGGGGTTTCACTATGTTGACCAGGATGGTCTCGATCTCTTGACCTCGTGATCCACCCGCCTCGGCCTCCCAAAGTGCTGGGATTACAGGCGTGAGCCATGGCGCCCGGCCTACTTTTGTATAGACTCTCTCTGCTCAGAGGAGGTCACACCCCCTCCTATTACTTGCCTGTATTCATCCATTTCTTCAAACCCTGAAATCAAAACTCCTTGCAACCTTTGTTGTTTGTCCCAGCTTCTTATGAGCTAGTGTTTTACTCTCCTGATCAGCACTTGACGCTGCACTTATGTCCTTTCAGGATTAATAATTGTCCATACAACATGTTACTGCCTTTAGTTCATGTGCACTCTTATTTAAAAGCAAACTGTGAAATGAGCAGGCAGAAATTGTTAAGTCCACTGCTATTAAGTCCACTTGACAGATAAGGCAGCTGAGGCTCAGAGAGGTGATTTCCCAGGGCCACCAGCCAAATGTATCAGAGCAGAGACCTAATTCAGGTTTGCAGGCTCCATATCCTATGCTTTCCTAAGTACAGCCTGAGCTGTTTAGTAGAATAATGCCAGCCCATAATTTTAGCATAGCTTTATAAAGTGCATGCTTACAATTTTGACAACTATGACATCATCTGTTTTAACAAAGAGTCTGTGAAGTAAAACTAGGAAGATTTATTTAAAATATGCCTTTAATACATCTGTATGTATTTTGATAGATGTATATGTGTGTGTATTGAAACTATATGTATTAGACTACATATATATGTGGAACCATTCCATTTCTCTGATATTTTATGTGTTGTAGAGTTTTTTCTCATACATTATTTCATCTTATTTCTTTCACAATTCTGCTTGAGGAGAACAACTAGTCTTGGAAATAGACTTGTGAACCCAAAAAAGGATGTGTGTATCTTTGATTCATCCATTAAGCAGATAGCATCAGGCTCACAGAAGGAGTCTGATAAATATCTGTTGATTGAATGACCCAACTGATTCACATCCACCTTGCTCAGATGGAGAAGGTCCCCCTACTTCTCTGTCACTTTTAATATGGCAAGGCCTCTCTCTCTCTTTTTTCTTCCCACTCTGCCACAGGGACTCAGCTGTGTCCAACAACAAAACACCCCACACCAGCTCCATCAGCCACATCGAGTCGGTCCTGCAGCAGCTTGATGATGCCCAGGTGCAGATGGAGGAGCTATTCCATGAGCGGAAGATTAAGCTGGACATCTTCCTGCAACTGCGCATCTTTGAGCAGTACACCATCGAGGTAGTAGGGGGCCAGGAGGACAGGTGGAGAGGGGCCAAGAAGTGGTTCCTGGCTGAGGGCACTGCCCCAGAGACAGGGCAGTAGCCTAAGGAAATTAGAGCATCCAGCATGCATTTTTAGAAAGCAAGGAACTCCCAGTCCACCATGACATACTCCTTCCAGTCCCTCTCATCCCCTAATGCTATGCAGAGCCCCTCTGTTTTACTTACTGTCTGTAGATTACTTCATTGAGAAATGTTTGTTTGTTTTGTTTTGTTTTTGAGATGGAGTTTCACTCTTGTTGCCCAGGCTGGAGTACAGTGGTGCAATCTCAGCTCACTGCAACCTCTACCTCTCAGGTTCAAGCGATTCTTCTGCTTTAGCCTCTTGAATAGCTGGGATTACAGGCATGTGCCACCACACTGGCTAATGTATTTTTAGTAGAGATGGGGTTTCATCATGTTGGGCAGGCTCTTGAACTCCTGACTTCAAGTGATCTGCCTGCCTTGACCTCCAAAAGTGCTGGGATTACAGGCATGAGCCACCATGCCTAGCCAAGAAGTTTTTTATTGCTATCCATTAGACTCTTACTTGGTATTATGGTTCCTGAAATACTATGAGCTGGTAGTTTGATGATTGGAGTAGAGTTATTGAATTTCACAGCTTTAAGAATGGGTAGATATTAAAATTAGGTGGCCTCCTTAGAGCCAATAATATATATTACACATTAGATTCAATCACACAGCAGTTAAGAAGCCAGGTGTCACAGGAAGAGGAACCTGCATCTGCAATTTGATTTCTACCTGTTAAGAAAGTAAGTCTGTGCTATGACCATTTGTTGGTTCATCTCATAGACTCCTCAGTTTATTTTTGGAAGGTTGGAATCACATATTCTGGTCTATTTATGTCCCCTTTATCATGCCAATTAGTAATGTAGCCAGGTCCATACAATTTCTGTGGTATAAGGAATATCTAACATAAGGTACTTTTTCTTTTTCAGAGATGGCAAAGGGTTAAATTAAAGGCATGTCTTCTCTTTGCTCCTGGCTGGTATGGTAGGAGGGAAAGCCAACTTTCCACCCACCATTTCTTAACTTTGTTTTCCATTCCAACCATCTCTCTGGAGTTAGGGTTTCTGGAGGGTGATCTTCCCAATAATATCTGTGGAAACTTCAATGGAACAGCTTTGGAAGGAAAATTATTTTTTTTAACATGTTGAAAGCTCCAACATCCCATCCTAATCCAACTCAGTACCAGAGACTGTCTTGGGAACAGCTCCCCTTTGCTTTAATCCCGGATCCAAAAATGTTCATATTGAGAATCTGAAATGTAAAAGAAAAGCAACTGTAAAGGTATTCATCTTTCTATCCCTTACTCTCTTAGAAGCACATCTCTACACCTGCCTCCTTGGGAGTTCTTGTAATTTCTTGCTTAAAGACTTCATGTTCTAAAAGGTGCTTTCTGGACAGGTCCTGGAACAAAGGAGAAGATAAGCCTTTAAATCCAGACCTTAACTATGCTTCCAACTGATTTCATAACCTAGGTGAATTTATTTATACTTTTTATTTATTTTGAATCTACTCTCAGGATTTCAGGTGGCAAGTGGTATCAAAACATGTTTTGAGAAACAATCAAAATGCCAGTGGAAAAATAAAGATATTGGCATGTGGTGAAGAGTGTATATAGTGACCATTGTAAAGGTGGGGCAACAAGGTAATAGAAAAAAAGAAAGGGTATGTGGGTCATTATTCTTTAGTAATTTGGATTGAGATGTACAGAAATAAATACAGTTTAAGTTGATTAAAGTAGCCCAAGGCAGTACTGCAGTCATTCATCAGCTCCATTTTGCCCTCTGGAAGTGAATATATCCAGGGAGGAAATTATGTTAGCAGGTGTGGGGGTTTTGCAATTGTACTTCTTATTTACTCTTCTGTCATTCCAGGTCTACTTCAAAACATGCTTAAGGGAGAGGAAGTCATCTGAGGGTTGGGATTAAGTTTTATTTGAAAAGATGACTGTGGCCTGGAAGTCAGGGTCGCTGGTTGAGTGCTGGAATGGGTCAATTAGCTTTGCTTTGACATCGGCTACACCCCTGACATCAGCTGGGGGCATCACAAGGGTGTCTTTGCTTGGATTGATTCTAGGCAAGTCCAGTTCCACTAAAAAAAACAACCCAAAACATATGGAGAAAATATCCTTTAAAAAATGTGGGTTTAAATCAAATACATTAAAATTGGATCTGGCTTAAATGTTACAAGAGAGGAATTTGATACTTAAACTATGGGGCCGGGCATGGTGGCTCGCACCTGTAATACCAGCACTTTGGGAGACTGAGACTGGCAGATCACTTGAACTCAGGAGCTCAAGACCATCCTGGGCAATATGGTAAAACTCCATCTCTACCAAAAATACAAAAAATTAGCAGGGTGTGGTGGTAAGCACCTGTGGTCCCAGCTACCTGGGAGGCTAAGATGGGAGGATCACTTGAACCCAGGAGGTGGAGGTTGCAGTGAGCTATGATCATACCACTGCACTCCAGCCTGGGTGACAGAGTGAGACCCTATCTCAGAAAAAAATAAAAAATAAACGAATAGATTATGGGATTTGCATTCTTCAGCCTTTGTATAAAAATTCCTCTTCCTACCCCAAGTACTGGATAACAACAACTAGACAACCTGGAATGCAGGAGAGCAAGGGTGTGAGGGCCTCATAAAATAAGGGAGAGAAAAATCACAATGGCCAGCTGTGGTGGCGCAAGCCTGTAATCTCAGCACTTTGAGAGGCCAAGGCAGGCAGATCGCCTGAGGTCAGGAGTTTGAGACCAGCCTGGCCAAAATGGTGGAACTCTGTCTCTACTAAAAGTACAAAAATTAGCCAGGGATGGTGGCCCATGCCTGTAATCCTAGCTACTTGGGAGGCTGAGGCAGGAGAATCACTTGAACCCAGGAGGCAGAGGTTGCAGTGAGCTGAGATCGTGCCACTGTACTCCAGCCTGGGCAGCAGAGAGAGACTCAGTCGCAAAAAAAAAAAAGATGAGATTTTGTATCCTCTGGTGTAGGCTATTACATTCAGATTTTAGAAGGGGTCTTGTTCCCTTGTCTTGTGGGGGAGGCCCAAAAGCTTGGGGAGTATGCTACATCTAATCTTAGAACAGGAAATCCTGCCAAACCTATGGAAAAGTTCTGCTTCAAGTCAGATTGTCAGAAGTTATTTTTGAGGGTGATGATATTATTCAAATACCAGCTATGTCTCACTGTGGGATGAAGAACAAACTTGTAGAGATGCTTCTGAGTGTGAAACTGAGGGTGGTAACGAGAGGCATGTCAAAGCTGACATAAGCCAGGGCAGGATCTGTGATTATAGGACCTACAGTGTGGTTTCTTTCCTAAAGGAAGGCATTTGATAGACATGCTCCAAATTCCTTGGGATTACTGAACCCTGGAGGAGGCCTGCTACCCTGCATTTGAGACATCTAAGAGTGACTCCTTAGCTGTATCACTGAGAGCCGAGATGAGCCAGTTAATGTAATCATTAGGATAGCACATGGGTTGCTGCACCAATCTCTTTTTACTCAGTAATAATGGTGCTCACTTTATAACCTGGAATGAGATCATAGGGTGCCCCCACTTAAAGTGAAATATCCTAAGTTTGCTAGTCAGATGTTCAACACCAGGACCATAGCTGAGACCAAAGAGATCTATAGTGGAATATGTTGTTCTATAATGTTTTCCATGTAGGTTCAGCCTACCTCTATGAAAGGCATTTTATATAAACTGGTTATTATAGAAGAGACATTTCAGCAAATACAAATGTTTATTTTGTGGTGGTAAGAATATGGGTGATTTTTTTTCTTATTTTTTGATGCTTTCTTGCATTTCCGAGTTTTCTACAATTAGGATAATCAGAAAGAAATGAAAAATATTTTTAGAAGCAAGAATAGGCCAGTGGTCTCCATTTTTTATTGTGTACCCTCTCAATGTTTTTGAACTTACAACCCCCTACATATAAATATTTGTTCATTTTTAAGTTATAAAAATGTTCGGTCACTGGCTAATTATTTCAAAACTCAACATGCTCTTTGGGAGAGGTTTAGCTTTTTCATTAGAAGTTGTGGGTTCCATATTTCAGATAGTCTTCTGATAATTTCCAATTATTTTTTGCCTGTTTTCTTGACAGATCTTGTTAGATTGTCATTGTTGCCTTTCCCCATATGTGGCTGACAGATAATTCAAAATTCTCTTATGCTTTCATGATTAGTATTACCTTCAAACTGCAATTTCTTTGCAGGAATCTCATTAAACCATGTATCTTTTTGTGAAGGTTAGTTTAGTTAAAACTAGATAGTAGATAAATCTGTTTAACTGGACACATTTAAAAAAAAAAAGCAGTAATTTGAAATAAGCTGAAAGCAATGAACAAATGAGCCACAGTCAGCCCCACTGAGTTGCAATACTCCTACCTTCCCTGAGGAGCCCTCTTTTTCATGCACTACACAAAACCATCCGCCATGTGGTCAGAGTGAGACTCCAGCACCAGTCTACTAATGAAAATCTTGGGAAATTTTATATACTTTGTATTGGCTTGATAAAATATACGTGCACAATATAATATATATACGCATACATGCGTATTTATATCAAGATAGTTTTTCTCTCTATTATCGATGGATAATTTTGGGCATTTTCTGCAATGGCCATACTCATGTTGGAAAGTCCTAGAAATGACACAAGAAAGATATTATAGACAAGGAACTTGCAGAAAATAAGGGCCACATTTATGGTCTTTCTTTGTAATCTCTGTGTAATTGCAAGCAAAGTGTGCTTAATGCACCTGAAAGTTTATCTGAGTAATTGACCTGAATAGGGAATGATATACCAATTCTAAATCTATGGGATTGATATAAAACAAACAGGGGTCAGGCTAAGGCCAGGAAGAAATGGTATTCAAGGAAGAAACTTCTGCCTATAGAAGATACGCTGATTACAATTTACTGGTGGTCTCAGCTCTTTAATTAGTTGTAC